AATTTTTAAATATAATCTTTAAAATTTTAATACATAAAAGTTTATTAATATTTTAAAAAAAGTTTTATAATAAAGTTAATAAAATATGTTTTTGAGAATATATTTTATAAGCAAAATATATTCCATATCATTAATAAATTATTGTTTTATTTAAAAAATACTAAATACAATTTAATTTTCTAGACAAATTTGCCTGAAATACAGTTTAAGGAATAGTATTTCCAACATAATCACTTATATAATTGATATTATCAAAGAAAAAGATAAGATATTTTCTAATATTAAGATTATATTTTTTATAAGATTCAAAAAAAGTCTGACTAATTGTATCAGAATTGTAATACTAAAGGTTTTTTATTTCTAAGAATATAATATTAGGTATGTTTTTTTCTAAATTCTAAAATATAAAACACTTTACTAATATTTTTTTTTATCTTGATTTTGATTCATCTATTATAATTCTGAATGAAAAATGAGATAATTAATTAGTTTATTGAAATATATTTCTTATATGTAATTCTGATACTTTGCAATACCAACAATTAATGGTATTTATACCAAACCAAGATTAGGTATTATTTCTTATTAAAAAATTAAAACCTATTTTTATGCTTTTTATTATAGTATTTGACTAATTTGAGAAACTTATACAATAAGATTAATAAAATCTTTATTATATTCTTTTTTATTTTATTTTATTATGTTTCTAATTATAATTTTTAAATTATTGTTTTTTAATTCTAGTAGACATTTAGTTATTACATAAATTTAAGATATATGATGATAATATTTATGCTTAAACTACATAATAAAACTACTAAGTTGTCTAACTTTATGGGTTGAATAATCTTTAGATTGTTGTAATTTTTTATTTTCTTTTTTAAATTGTTTATTTTCATTATTTAATACTTCTAATAACTTTCTGGACTTGTAAAAAAAGGTAGAGACATATTGAATTGCTTTGTTTTGTTTATAGAATAATATAATTTAATCTTTATTTTTCTATATAGATATTTTATTATATGCAAAAAATGTGATGTCAATTTAAGATCTGTTTTGAACATATCTTTAAGAATATTAACTATTGTATTATATGCTTTAAAAGAATCAGGTTTAATATTCAAATTATTAAAAATCATATCATGAATTATTTTAAGTTCTTGATCAGTGGTCTTTTTTAAGTAATTTGTTATCTCATCAATAATTACTTGATATTGATTTAATCTACATTTTTTGTCAAGTAATTCACATGCATGTTTAAGGTAAAATTGACATTTTGAAAGATTAGACATTGTGCAAAAGGATTTGATATTAAAAGTTACAATTTATAAAAATTATTGAAATTCACTTTAATGTACTTTTAAATTTTTATTTACAAAATTCAATTTGAAATAATTACTTATTTTTTAATAACTTGACAATATTATAAATAATTACAAAAGTTGCAAATGCTATTATAACAGTTAATTCTAACAAATGCAGTTACAAAAACCAATTCATAACAATCATAAAAGTCAATTTATGACATTTATTTTTTGTTTAGTTAAGTGTACAGTTATATGTATTTACAACAAAACTGTACTTTAAAAAGGTTCAACACTAAAACTAGCCTGAATTTTTTGACAAAATTCGATACATAATATGATAATAAGCATTATTTTAAAACTATAGAACCTGATTTTTAGTAACAAGGGCCAAATCATCAATAAACATATTTATTTCTGGTTAGAAGATGTTGAATAAGAACAAAAGACAAATTTCCGCTAATGCAAAGCTTAGAAATGTCTAATTGACTAAAAATTTTAAACTATAGCTTGTTTTATTTACGCTTTAAGAGTTGTCTGTCACAAAAATTGCGATAAAAAAATAGATTCTACATGAGGAGAACCAATTTTTTGAGCACTAATCTTTCGTTAATAAATTTTTGTGATTTTGCCGATCAATTTTTATGCATAAAATCTAACTATAATATCATTGTTAATGCACCTCACATGCTTTTGATTAATTAGTATATCGAAAACCCCAGTATATAATTGTAATGCTTGACAAATTTTATTATTTATCGAAAACAAAGTTTACAATTTTTCCTTCATTAGCATGAATTATTTTTTTAATCTTTTTATCGGCATTTACTTTCCCCAACCATTTCTTTCCATTCTCAGACTCGAGAATCAATTTCTCGGTGCTGAGATTATCTTGCAAAACTGCTGATGGAGTCATAATTGAAAATCTCATTTTCCCGTTAATCTGTTAGACAATTTATTAAATAAAAAAATTTTTTGTTTTTGTTTTTTTTTCTTTTAAAAAAAAAATTTAATAATAGTAAAAAGAAGAATAAACTCACTTGAACAACGCAAGTAACTTCACTGGCGGCGCTTAAGCATTCTATGTCAACTTTAGGCCATAGCTCTTCAAATACAGATGTTATATGTTGTTTTCCTTGATTCAATATTTCCCAAAATTCTTCTCCTATACTGGGTGCCATTGGTGCCATCATTTTTACCAATGTCTTTACACCATATTCATATGTTTGTGATACAATTGTAGACTTTTTTGATGCATTTTCATTTTGATACGGGGAAATACTTGTTAGATGGTTTGTCAGTTTAATTAGTGCTGATACTGCTGTATTGAATGTTGAATTTTTATAGTCCTCTGTCACCTAATAAATATATTTCGTATGACATGATTGAAAAATGTAATGGATATTCGTATGACTTAACAATGTATACTAACCTCTTTTATCGTGATGTTTATGATCCTATATGTTTCCCTATCTTCCTTACTTAGTAAATTCATGTTAAAATTTAAACTCAGATTATTTGTTGACAGATCCTTTTTAACAATACTTTCAACCAATCTCCAAACACGAGCAATCCACCTCTGCATGCCAACTATACTTGCATCTTCCCATTCGAGAACTTCAGATACAGGTGCTTTGAAAAGTATATGCAATCTTGTCGCATCTGCACCATAATTATTTATAGTTGTCTAAAACAAATACAAACAAACATATACATATTTAATGATATGATAAATTCTTTTATAATATATTATAAATTTACTTACTTCTGGATCTACACCATTATACTTGCTTTTAGACATTTTTTCAAATGATACTATTGAAGTCATCCCTGTTGAGATCTGTATAGGCTTACTTGGATCTTTTGGTAATTAATTAATTAGTCTGATAATGTTAACCAGTGTAATGAAAATAATCAACAGTAAAGTTTTTACTTGATAAATCAACTTCATCTGGCTTTAAAAATCTTCCTGATATTGGATCTTTGAATGTTTTTCCATGAACCATCCCCTAAATGAAAATATATATATATGTCACGTTATGTACTAAATCTTGAATTTAGGGTTGTTAATGGATTAGGTTGAGTTGGTTTGAATTAGTTTCAACTCAAACCAGCTTGGAGCACTATGTTCTAATATAGTACCCCAGCTTGGTTTCCATTTAAACTCACTCCAATCTAATTTAGGATTAGATTGGAGTGACCTAGAGTATAATACTCCAATTAACAACCCTGCTTGGATTGAATTTTGCAACAATGATACATGCTTGTGTAACCAGCTGTTTAAATGGTTCATCTTGACCTGGTTCGGTAATATCTCCTTTCAAAGCAAACATACCTTGCTTGAACATAAATTTGGTAAAGAACCGAGAATACAACAAATGCAAATTTGCATGTTCTATGCCACCAATATAGACATCAACTGGAAGTAAATTAGATGCTTTCTTAGGGCAAAACGGCCTATATCATGTTAATGGTTACTATAGTCACTTACAGTAATTTAACTTATGATACTATCTCTTTTCGGTTCATGGCTTACTGGTTTGAATTTTTTGAATCCATATATCGCATAAAATACCACGATGAATCAACAAAAGTATCCATTGTATCAGTGTCTCTCATAGCAGAACCTTGACACCTAATAAATAGTATATTAACTTATTAGCTTCATCAATGGCTAATCTTACTAAAAATTAGAAAATGACTTACTTTGGACATTTACAATTTAACCATTCTTGCACTTGTTTTAAGGGAGAACCCCCACGACCGGAAAAGGTGACATCAGTGGGTAGAAGTATTGGTAGCTCAGACTCGGAAACAGGAACAACCTATTTTCATGTAAAAATTTTACTAAAAAGAGAAATTGTCAGTCATGTAATATAAAGTACATACGCCGCATTTCGCACAATGTATAATCGGGATGGGTGCACCCCAATAACGTTGCCTGGAAATCAGCCAGTCTCTAAGACGATACTAGATAATGATAATTTCTTAACACTGACGGTCTTTGAATGCCATTTCATGTTATAGTTTGAAAAATACGAATTACCTGAACTGACCAGCGTCCATATCCTGCTTTTTGTGCATCATTTACAATTGCTTTCTCTGCATCATCACTTGAAAGGCCAGCATATTGACCACATTTCGCTGTCAATATTCCACGCGAAGTAAAAACTTTATTGCTATGCTGCATCCCTGTTGCTTTTGCTTTATCAAAAACATATCAAAAATACACTTTTCACGAAAAGTAAGAATAAACCAGGAATTTTCATATAGGACAAACATACAATTATCTTGAATTACAGGCATAATGACTTTTTTAATATTGTCCTCGGAAATTATACGATTTATTCTTACAAATTCCCAGTCGCGTTCATCATGTGCAGGAACGCCCATCACCGCACCTGTCCCATAATCGGGAACCACGTAGGATGCTACATAAATGGGGATGGATAAACCTGTAATTGGGTGCTTTGCGAAAACACCAGTATGCATTCCTGAAAAAAATTGACAGATCTATGAAGTTTTAAAAATGAAATATAATTATGAATATGAAAAAGAAAAGTCAAATATTACACCTTGTCCAGTATTTACATCATTCAAATCAAATAATTCTTGTTGTCTAATTTTTTCCACAAATTGCAAAACTTGAGAACAAGTATTTTGTGGAAGCCATCTACGTGAAATATAAACTTATCAAATTTAAGTCAGGCTTAATAAATGAATAATTTTAAGTACATACTCTTCTGACAAAAGGGGATGATCTATAGCGATAGCTAGATATTGCACTCCAAAAATAGTATCAGGTCTACTCGTAAATACCTTAACTATGAATTCGGATCGTTTTGATTCCTGGATAGGTGATAACTATCAAATTCTTTGTATACACCTCCATGACCTTTTGTTAGAAATACACACCACTATAAAATCAAATTCAGCTCCCTTAGATTTTCCTATCCAATTTCTTTGCATTTGCTTTACATGATCTGGCCATTTATCTAACAAATCAAGGTCATTCAGCAATGGCTATATTCAAAATTCAATAATATTATAAAATGTATATTATTAGCTACAAAATTAAAGAATGAAATTTAAACTATACTTCGGCAAAATCTGTTATTTTGAAGAACCATTGCTTTAATTTACGTCGTTCAACTTTAGCACCTGACCTCCAGGATCTCCCGTCAGAACCCACCTGGCAAAGGTAAGGTATAATAATGAATACAATGCTATTATTTTAATTATTTAAGCATTAGATACCTGTTCATTGGCCAGAACTGTTTGGTCAACAGGATCCCAATTGACAATTGCCTCTTTTTGGTAAGCAAGACGCGCTTTATACATTTGGAGAAAAAGATATTGTGTCCATTTGTAATAATCTGGATTGCAAGTGGTAACTTCCTAGGAATAATACATATTAAATCAATCAAATTATATTTTTTTACAATATAAATATACATACCCTGTCCCAATCAAAATCTGTTAAGATTCTCTCCATTTGTTTTTTCATAGAAGATATATTTGATATGGTCCAATCAGCAGGATGAACGTTCCGCTCCATAGCGGCATTTTCAGCAGGAAGACCGAAAGCATCCCATCCCATTGGATGAATAACCTTTTGAGCGTAATAAATAGACATCGTGAATTTATACATAAATCAGCATCATTATCTATCATTATCACATACATCGTATCCAAGCATTTTTCTAAACCTCGCTAAAGTATCACTAATAGTATACACTCTCACATGGCCCATATGTAGCATTCCGCTTGGATATGGAAACATGGCCAAAACATAAAATTTTTCTTTATTGCCTTGATTTTTTGGAAGATTTTTATAATTTTTCCATTTATTTATCCATTTACTTTCTATTTTTGCGAAATTATAACTTTTTGATACAGATGAATATGATTTTATTTTACAATAAAAACTCGAATTTATAAAAAACTTTGTATTATGACCCGCATAGTAAACGCGTTTTGAAATACGTAAATGCATTGGGAACATTTTATAAAAAAAAAATGTACAGTACATGCGACTTAATGTTGATAAGCATTAGTAAGTTTGATTTTATTGGTTGATGATGATCAACATAATTAAAAATTCCGATTGGTTAATTTAATAAAGTCATATCTACTATATGGGGTCTTTGCCTTGAAAAATGACCTTATGGGACATAGTAAATCATATGATCCAAACTTGATTTTCAAGGCAAAGACCCCATATATCGATCGCGCAAATTACTAATCAGTTATGTAATATAACCTCACACGTTTTGAGCTAAAATTACACGATATTCTTTAACTAGCATTTTGCGGGAAGATATTTTTCATATTCTCGCGTGAGAAGCATTATATTATTAATGTTAATTCAGTATTTAATGTTAATCTTTATGTTAAAACTAGTATTAATATTAAACAGCAAGAAACTAGTTACATAATAAATGCGTGTTGTTTTTGTTGTCATTTATTTATTTATTTATTTTAATATTAATTTTTTTTAGTATGCTGTATATGTCTTAAATTCAAATTAGGTAATAGACATAAGATTGTAATTTATTTTTTATTACTTTTACTATCAACATGTTATTTTGCTTTTAAAAAGTTAAATTTATAAAATTTTTAATAAATTTTAGAATAAAAATTTCTAATTATGGATTGTCAAAAAATAAAGAATCATGCTCTGTTCATAATTGCAATAAAAATACTAATTACTTTTATTAATTTATTTAATTGGCATATGAAAAAACCTTTTTTAAAAAAAGTATACTAATTATTATTATTATTATTTTTTTTTTTTTTTTTTTTTTTTTTTTTTTATTATAAGCAGTCATGCTAGTACTTTATTAGATTTTTGGAATTATATTTGCAACTACATAAATATCTCTAATATCTAAGTCTAGCATCACCTGGCCACTTTAATGATACCTAAGTGCAACCTGCCACATTACTTCAAACAGAAGTAAGCTGCTCATCTGACTACTTAAAGTCCATAATGGAAG